GTGTGATCAAGTAGTGTCAAGCCACGAGAGGAACTCTATCATCCTCAAGTAACCAATCAGAGAGCACTACCTCCTTCACAAGGAAAGTGAGGAGTTGACATGTGAAACAGTGTGGTTCTAGACCTGTGAGAGGGTGTGTCCCAGTCGCTTGAAATTGCTCTTGAGTAGGAATAATGACTGTTTAAAGTCACATTTAGAAAATTCATATAAACTATGAAAGTTACAGCAAGAGTAACAAGGTTTTAGAAAGAGCCAGTTTACAATATCCTAGAACATCCACATCCCAATGTTATCAGTGAGAGAAACTTTAACAGACAAGACAATATGGAACAAAATAATGGGAGGAGGAAAGAAGAAAGTCACTGATGATGAATGGTTTTCATGAGGCCGATGGGAGGAAAGTTGATGAGTGGAGGTTGATGAGGAACAAAATATTTAATCTACTGACAGGAGGAAAGACCCCCGTACAGGAGGTGACAGAATACGTCCAGTCAATGTGACCCTTGCAGCAGGAATGTCCATGTGACCCTTGCAGCAGGAATGTCCATGTGACCCTTGCAGCAGGAATGTCCATGTGACCCTTGCAGCAGGAATGTCAATGTGACCCTTGCAGCAGGAATGTCAATGTGACCCTTGCAGCAGGAATGTCCATGTGACCCTTGCAGCAGGAATGTCAATGTGACCCTTGCAGCAGGAATGTCCATGTGACCCTTGCAGCAGGAATGTCCATGTGACCCTTGCAGCAGGAATGTCAATGTGACCCTTGCAGCAGGAATGTCAATGTGACCCTTGCAGCAGGAATATCAATGTGACCCTTGCAGCAGGAATGTCCATGTGACCCTTGCAGCAGGAATGTCAATGTGACCCTTGCAGCAGGAATGTCAATGTGACCCTTGCAACATTAATGACTCAAGACAAGGCTATGAGGCGGAATCCGCTGTTTAGCAGAATGCGACAGGACTAAGACTTATGATAACCAAGAACTTGAAACCAAGAAACCAGCGTCTAAACGTACGTAATAAGGCAAACAGATTACTGGGATTGATATCAAGAAGTATAAGCAACAGGAGTCCAGAGGTTATACTACAGCTCTACACATCATTAGTAAGGTCTCTCTTTGATTATGCAGCTCAGTTCTGGTCTCCATATGACAGAATGGATATTAATTCGTTAGAAAACATTCAGAGTGGATAAGTTTAGAATTAGAAAGGATATAGGAAAATACTGGTTTGGAAATAGGGAAGTCGATGAATAGGGTTATTGAAGCCAAAACTTTGGGTAGCTTCAAATTTAGATTAGATAAATACATAAGTGAGAGGGGTTGAATTTGAGTGGGACTTGCACATGAGTTAATATATTTATCAAAGTTTATTCGTAGTGTAGCTTCGAAAATGGGTTGGGCAAATAATTCTGTTAGGTGGGTTTGGGTTCGAAAGCGACGTGCCTAGTATGGGCCAACAGGCCTGCTACAGAGTTTCTCCAGTCTTATGTTCCTATGGTTAACCTTGGATGAATTCGACAGTGTTTTTTTTTTTCACTCCCGGAGCCCGGCCCTGGGCCAGGCTTGTCTGGTACTGACCTGGTCAACCAGGCTTCTGCTGCTAGCGGCCCTCTGGCCCACGTATACCTCAATGTTAGGCTTATACAGCACTTGGCGGAGGTACTTGTCGGCTGTCGTCTTGAAGGCTTTCGAAATACTCGTTTCTGATAGCTTCTGGCAAGATGTTAAAAACTCTGCCACCACGACTCCCTCCCTCCCAACTCATGTACAATAACTCAAAACCAAACTCACTCTAGAATAAATCACAGTATTTCTCTCCATGCTTATTTAAATAATTGTTATGTAAATCTTCCAAAAGCAATTTATCTTCCAATGTATGACTTCATCTCTTATTTTAATCCACGTCAGGAAAAAAAACACACGAGACGACTTTACCTTCTGTTTCTCACTGAAGCTGCAGGATCTGTGTAATATTCTGTATTTGTTGTCAGTAATATGTCTGTGTTTACCAGTGACGTGTCCAAGTAGACTGATACGTGTTGCTTCTGTGGTGGTAAGTTCTCTCACGGGATGACTGGTACTGTCCGGTAGTCTTTACTTACCTACCAGCAGAAGCAGCAGGAAGATCTACCTACCAGCAGAAGCAGCAGAAAGATCTACCTACCAGCAGAAGGGTCTACATACCAGCAGAAGGGTCTACAAACCAGCAGAAGGGTCTACATACTAGCAGAAGGGTCTACATACCAGCAGAAGGGTCTACATACCAGCAGAAGGGTCTACATACTAGCAGAAGGGTCTACATACTAGCAGAAGGGTCTACATACTAGCAGAAGGGTCTACATACCAGCAGAAGGGTCTACATACCAGCAGAAGGGTCTACATACTAGCAGAAGGGTCTACATACCAGCAGAAGGGTCTACATACTAGCAGAAGGGTCTACATACAAGCAGAAGGGTCTACATACTAGCAGAAGGGTCTACATACTAGCAGAAGGGTCTACATACTAGCAGAAGGGTCTACATACCAGCAGAAGGGTCTACATACTAGCAGAAGGGTCTACATACTAGCAGAAGGGTCTACATACTAGCAGAAGGGTCTACATACTAGCAGAAGGGTCTACATACTAGCAGAAGGGTCTACGTACCAGCAGAAGGGTCTACATACTAGCAGAAGGGTCTACATACTAGCAGAAGGGTCTACATACTAGCAGAAGGTTCTACATACTAGCAGAAGGGTTTACATACTAGCAGAAGGGTCTACATACCAGCAGAAGGGTCTACATACTAGCAGAAGGGTCTACATACCAGCAGAAGGGTCTACATACTAGAAGAAGGGTCTACATACTAGCAGAAGGGTCTACATACTAGCAGAAGGGTCTACATACCAGCAGAATGGTCTACATACTAGCAGAATGGTCTACATACTAGCAGAAGGGTCTACATACCAGCAGAAGGGTCTACATACTAGCAGAAGGGTCTACATACTAGCAGAAGGGTCTACATACTAGCAGAAGGGTCTACATACCAGCAGAAGGGTCTACATACTAGCAGAATGTCTACATACTAGCAGAAGGGTCCTACATACTAGCAGAAGGGTCTACATACTAGCAGAAGGGTCTACATACTAGCAGAAGGGTCTACATACCAGCAGAAGGGTCTACATACTAGCAGAAGGGTCTACATACTAGCAGAAGGGTCTACATACTAGCAGAAGGGTCTACATACTAGCAGAAGGGTCTACATACTAGCAGAAGGGTCTACATACCAGCAGAAGGGTTCTACATACTAGCAGAAGGGTCTACATACTAGCAAGGGGTCTACATACCAACAGAAGGGTCTACATACTAGCAGAAGGGTCTACATACTAGCAGAAGGGTCTACATACTAGCAGAAGGGTCTACATACCAGCAGAAGGGTCTACATACTAGCAGAAGGGTCTACATACTAGCAGAAGGGTCTACATACTAGCAGAAGGGTCTACATACTAGCAGAAGGGTCTACATACTAGCAGAAGGGTCTACATACCAGTAGAAGGGTCTACATACTAGCAGAAGGGTCTACATACCAGCAGAAGGGTCTACATACCAGCAGAAGGGTCTACATACCAGCAGAAGGGTCTACATACTAGCAGAAGGGTCTACATACTGGCAGAAGCGTCTACATACCAGCAGTAGGGTCTACATACTAGCAGAAGGGTCTACATACCAGCAGAAGGGTCTACATACTAGCAGAAGGGTCTACATACTGGCAGAAGGGTCTACATACCAGCAGAAGGGTCTACATACTGGCAGAAGGGTCTACATACCAGCAGAAGGGTCTACATACCAGCAGAAGGGTCTACATACTAGCAGAAGGGTCTACATACCAGCAGAAGGGTCTACATACCAGCAGAAGGGTCTACATACTGGCAGAAGGGTCTACATACCAGCAGAAGGGTCTACATACTGGCAGAAGGGTCTACATACCAGCAGAAGGGTCTACATACCAGCAGAAGGGTCTACATACTAGCAGAAGGGTCTACATACCAGCAGAAGGGTCTACATACTAGCAGAAGGGTCTACATACTAGCAGAAGGGTCTACATACCAGCAGAAGGGTCTACATACTAGCAGAAGGGTCTACATACCAGCAGAAGGGTCTACATACCAGCAAGAAGGGTCTAAATACTAGCAGAATGGTCTACATACCAGCAGAAGGGTCTACATACTAGCAGAAGTGTCTACATACTAGCAGAAGGGTCTACATACCAGCAGAAGGGTCTACATACTAGCAGAAGGGTCTACATACCAGCAGAAGGGTCTACATACTGACAGAAGGGTCTACATACTAGCAGAAGGGTCTACATACTAGCAGAAGGGTCTACATACCAGCAGAAGGGTCTACATACTGGCAGAAGGGTCTACATACTGACAGAAGGGTCTACATACTAGCAGAAGGGTCTACATACTAGCAGAAGGGTCTACATACCAGCAGAAGGGTCTACATACTGGCAGAAGGGTCTACATACCAGCAGAAGTGTCTACATACCAGCAGAAGGGTCTACATACTGGCAGAAGGGTCTACATACCAGCAGAAGTGTCTACATACAAGCAGAAGGGTCTACATACTGGCAGAAGGGTCTACATACTGGCAGAAGGGTCTACATACTGGCAGAAGGGTCTACATACCAGCAGAAGGGTCTACATACCAGCAGAAGGGTCTACATACCAGCAGAAGGTTCTACATACCAGCAGAAGGGTCTAGATACCAGCAGCAACAGCAGAAAGTTCTACCTACTAGCAGAAGAAACTGAAGGATCTACTTACCAGAAGAAGGATCTACCTACCAGCAGATGGATCTACCAGCCAGCAGAAGGATCTACCTACCAGGAGAACGGGTCTTCCTACCAGCGGAACGGGTCCACCCACAAGCAGAAGCAGGACACATGCAGCCCTCCAAGAGTGACAGGTGGTGGCGGGCCTGCGGACAAGAGTGAGGCAGGCTCAGGCCTTGCTGACCTACCTGCGTAAACTTATTCTGCCACTCGCGCAGGATGAGCTCAGCCTTCTCCTGCGACCAGTCGACGTGGTGCAGCCGGTAGTGGTCCAGCCAGTACTCGTACATGTTCTTGGCTCCCATCAGCTGCACCATACTCTGCAGTGCCTCAGCCCTGTGTAACCATAACACACGTACATCAACGTACAGTTCTTCAAAGAATCTATCAAATCTCGTATGCATAACTACGTGAACATCAACTGATCATCAACGTAACTTACAACCCAAAGGATAAAACTGTATTAGGAATGTAGTGACTTGTATTATATAGCAATTAATATATTTGTAATATACATTGTAGCTATAAAAAGTATAATTATTACTGGTCACTGAGAGTGTACGTTAGGTTCTCCAAGTGCAGGACCCCTCAAGGAAGGTTCCTTGATGTTGGTGAGGGGCTCTTGATTTAGGAAATTGGATCTGTGCTCCAGTTCCCCGAATTAAGCCTGTAAGCCTTCCACATCCCCCCCAGGCGCTGTATAATCCTCCGGGTTTAGCGCTTCCCCTTGATTATAATAATAATCCAAGTGCAGGGCCATTTGTTCTGTATTCAGGGCCATTTGCTCTGTATTCAGGGCCATTTGTTCTGTATTCAGGGCCATTTGTTCTGTATTCAGGGCCATTTGTTCTGTATTCAGGGCCATTTGCTCTGTATTCAGGGCCATTTGTTCTGTATTCAGGGCCATTTGTTCTGTATTCAGGGCCATTTGTTCTGTATTCAGGGCCATTTGTTCTGTATTCGGCCATTTTTTTCTGTATTCAGGTCCATTTGCTCTGTATTCAGGGCCATTTGTTCTGTATTCAGGGCCATTTGTTCTGTATTCAGGGCCATTTGTTCTGTATTCAGGGCCATTTGTTCTGTATTCAGGGCCATTTGTTCTGTATTCAGGGCCATTTGTTCTGTATTCAGGGCCATTTGTTCTGTATTCAGGGCCATTTTCTCTGTATTCAGGGCCATTTAATCTGTATTCAGGGCCATTTGCTCTATATTCTGGGCCATTTGTTCTGTATTCAGGGCCATTTGTTCTGTATTCAGGGCCATTTGTTCTGTATTCAGGGCCATTTGTTCTGTATTCAGGGCCATTTTTTCTGTATTCAGGGCCTTTTTGTTCTGTATTCGGGGCCCTTTTGTTCTGTATTCAGGGCCATTTGATCTGTATTCAGGGCCACTTGTTCTGTATTCAGGGGCATTTGTTCTGTATTCAGGGCCATTTGTTCTGTATTCAGGGCCATTTGCTCTGTATTCAGGGCCATTTGTTCTGTATTCAGGGCCATTTGTTCTGTATTCAGGGGCATTTGTTCTGTGTTCAGGGGCATTTGTTCTGTATTCATGGGCATTTGTTCTGTATTCAGGGCCATTTGCTCTGTATTCAGGGCCATTTGTTCTGTATTCAGGGCCATTTGTTCTGTATTCAGGGGCATTTGTTCTGTGTTCAGGGGCATTTGTTCTGTATTCAGGGGCATTTGTTCTGTATTCAGGGCCATTTGCTCTGTTTTCAGGGCCTTTTTGTTCTGTATTCAGGCCATTTGTTCTGTATTCAGGGCCTTTTGTTCTGTATTCAGGGCCATTTGTTCTGTATTCAGGGCCATTTGTTCTGTATTCAGGGCCATTTGTTCTGTATTCAGGGCCATTTGTTCTGTATTGAGGGCCATTTGTTCTGTATTCAGGGCCATTTGCTCTGTATTCAGGGCCACTTGTTCTGTATTCAGGGGCATTTTTCTGTATTCAGGGCCATTTTTTTCTGTATTCAGGGTCATTTGCTGTATTCAGGGCCATTTGTTCTGTATTCAGGGCCATTTGTTCTGTATTCAGGGGCATTTGTTCTGTGTTCAGGGGCATTTGTTCTGTATTCAGGGGCATTTGTTCTGTATTCAGGCCATTTGCTCTGTATTCAGGGCCATTTTTTCTGATTCAGGGCCATTTGTTCTTTATTCAGGGGCATTTGTTCTGTGTTCAGGGGCATTTGTTCTGAAATTCGGGGGGCATTTGTTCTGTATTCAGGGGAAATTTGTTCTGAAATTCAGGGCCATTTGCTCTGTATTCGGGGGCCACTTGTTCTGTATTCGGGGGCATTTGTTCTGTATTCTGGGGCATTTGTTCTGTATTCAGGGGCAGTTGTTCTGTATTCAGGGGCATTTGTTCTGTATTCAGGGGCATTTGTTCTGTATTCAGGGGCATTTGTTCTGTATTCAGGGGCATTTGTTCTGTATTCTGGGGCATTTGTTCTGTATTCAGGGGCATTTGTTCTGTATTCAGGGCCACTTGTTCTGTATTCAGGGCATTTGTTCTGTATTCAGGGGCATTTGTTCTGTATTCAGGGGCATTTGTTCTGTATTTTCAGGGACATTCATCCTTAATAAATGACGGCTGCGGAATCAACAAGCATCTCAAGATCAATCTCCGATTTGTGAGTCACGAATCGTCACGATTCATGTCCCACAAACTGATTCATAACCCACGAATGTGAGTTACGAATGTGTTACGAATGCCCCAAGTGTGAACTGCAGCGCCACGGCTGTTGTGGTGGCCAGCCATGTACACACACACCTCACCACCACCCACTCTCACCACCACCCACTCTCAACACCCACTCTCACCACCACCCACCCTCAGCACCCACCCTCACAACCCCCCACTCTCAACACCCACTCTCACCACCACTCACCCTTTTGCACCCACTCCCCCACCACCACCCACCCTCAGCACCCACTCTCACCACCACCCACTCTCAACACCCTCTCTCACCACCCCCACCCTTAGCGCCCACTCTCAGCACCCACCCTCACCACCACCCACCATCAGCACCCACCCTCAGCAGGACCTACCTGACAATGTGACCTGTCTTGTTGGTGGTGGTGGCGCCGACAACTAGGTCCTCCGGCCAGTGCATATAGTTGCCAGCGAAGCCGTAACAACCTCCAGTCAACTCCGCCCCGACGTCCGGCGGCTGCAACACAAACCATCTTGCTCTTTCAATGGTTCTCTTCTCTCCTTTTTCTCTCCCCAAGTGAGACTTGACAATGAATAGTTATAACAGATTTTGATGAATATTTTGAGTTAGTAACGAGTGGGAGAGGGGACTCACCTGTCTCACAAGTGGGAGAGGGGACTCACCTGTCTGACGAGTGGGAGAGGGGACTCACCTGTCTGACAAGTGGGAGAGGGGACTCACCTGTCTGACAAGTGGGAGAGGGGACTCACCTGTCTGACGAGTGGGAGAGGGGACTCACCTGTCTGACAAGTAGGAGAGGGGACTCACCTGTCTGACAAGTGGGAGAGGGGACTCACCTGTCTGACAAGTGGGAGAGGGGACTCACCTGTCTGACGAGTGGGAGAGGGGACTCACCTGTCTGACGAGTGGGAGAGGGGACTCACCTGTCTGACAAGTGGGAGAGGGGACTCACCTGTCTGACAAGTGGGAGAGGGGACTCACCTGTCTGACGAGTGGGAGAGGGGACTCACCTGTCTGACGAGTGGGAGAGGGGACTCACCTGTCTGACAAGTGTGAGAGGGGACTCACCTGTCTGACAAGTGGGAGAGGGGACTCACCTGTCTGACAAGTGGGAGGGGGATCACCTGTCTGACAAGTGGGAGAGGGGACTCACCTTCTGACGAGTGGGAGAGGGGACTCACCTGTCTGACGAGTGGGAGAGGGGACTCACCTTCTGACAAGTGTGGAGGGGACTCACCCGTCTGACAAGTGGGAGAGGGGACTCACCTGTCGACAAGTGGGGAGGGGACTCCCTGTCTGACAAGTGGGAGAGGGACTCACCTGTCTGACGAGTGGGAGAGGGAAATTTAAACCCGTCTGACGAGTGAGAGAGGGGACTCACCTGTCTGACAAGTGGGAGAGGGGACTCACCTGTCTGACGAGTGGGGGGGAGGGGACTCACCTGTCGACAAGTGGGAGGGGACTCACCTGTCTGACGAGTGGGAAGGGGGGGTCATCTGTTGACAAGTGGGAGAGGGGACTCACCTGTCTGACAAGTGGAGAGGGGACTCACCTGTCTGAACGAGTGGGAGAGGGGACTCACCTGTCTGACAAGTGGAGAGGGGACTCACCTGTCTGACGAGTGGGAGAGGGGGCTCATCTGTCTGACAAGTGTGGGAGGGGGGGACTCACCTGTCTGACAAGTGGGAGAGGGGAATCACCTGTCTGACAAGTGGGGGGAGGGGACTCACCTGTCTGACGAGTGGGGGAGGGGACTCACCTAATCTGAAAGAGTGGGAGAAAGGGGGCTTTATCTGTCTGACGAGTGGGAAAAGGGGACTCACCCTGCTGACAAGTGGGAGAGGGGGAATCACCTGTCTGACAAGTGGGAGAGGGGACTCACCTGTCTGACGAGTGGGAGAGGGGACTCACCTGTCTGACAAGTGGGAGAGGGGACTCACCTGTCTGACGAGTGGGAAAAGGGGGGGCTCATCTGTCTGACAAGTGGGAGAGGGGACTCACCTGTCTGACAAGTGGGAGAGGGGACTCACCTGTCTGACGAGTGGGAGAGGGGACTCACCTGTCTGACAAGTAGGAGAGGGGACTCACCTGTCTGACAAGTGGGAGAGGGGAACTCACCTGTCTGACGAGGGGGGGGAGAGGGGACTCACCTGTCTGACAAGTAGGAGAGGGGACTCACCTGTTGACGAGTGGGGGAGGGGACTCACCTGTCTGACAAGTAGGAGAGGGGACTCACCTGTCTTACAAGTGGGAGAGGGGACTCACCTGTCGGACGAGTGGGAGAGGGGACTCATCTGTCTGACAAGTGGGAGAGGGGACTCACCTGTCTGCGATGGGAGGGGGACTCACCTGTCCCGACGAGTGGGAGAGGAGACCCACCTGTCTGACGGTGGGAGAGGGGACCTCACCTGTCTGACGAGCGGGAGAGGGGACTCACCTGTCTGACAAAGTTGGGGGAGAGGGGACTCACCTGTCTGACAAGTGGGAGAGGGGACTCACATGTCTGACAAGTGGGAGAGGGGACTCACCTGTCTGACGAGTGGAGAGGGGGGCTTTACCTGTCTGACGAGGGGGGAGGGGACTCACCTGTCTGACGAGTGGGAGAGGGGATTAACCTGTCTGACGAGTGAGAGAGGGGACTCACCTGTCTGACAAGTGTGAGAGGGGACTCACCTGTCTGACAAGTGGGAGAGGGGACTCACCTGTCTGACAAGTGGGAGAGGGGACTCACCTGTCTGACGAGTGGGAGAGGGGACTCACCTGTCTGACAAGTGGGAGAGGGGACTCACCTGTCTGACGAGTGGGAGAGGGGGCTCATCTGTCTGACAAGTGGGAGAGGGGACTCACCTGTCTGACAAGTGGGAGAGGGGAATCACCTGTCTGACAAGTGGGAGAGGGGACTCACCCTGTCTGACGAGTGGGGAGGGGACTCCCCCTGTCGAGAGTGGGAGAGGGGGCTCATCTGTATGACGAGTGGAGAGGGGATCACCTGTCTGACAGTGGGAGAGGGGAATCACCTGTCTGACAAGTGGGAGAGGGGACTCACCTGTCTGACGAGTGGGAGAGGGGACTCACCTGTCTGACAAAGTGGGAGAGGGGGGCTCACTGTCTGACGAGTGGGAGAGGGGGGGGGGTCATCTGTCTGCAAGTGGGAGAGGGGACTCACCTGTCTGACAAGTGGGAGAGGGGACTCACCTGTCTGACGAGTGGGAGAGGGGACTCACCTGTCTGACAAGTAGGAGAGGGGACTCACCTGTCTGACAAGTGGAGAGGGGACCACCTGTCTGACGAGTGGGAGAGGGGCTCACCTGTCCCGACAGTAGGGGAGGGGACTCACCTGTCTGACGAGTGGGAGAGGGGACTCACCTGTCTGACAAGTAGGAGAGGGGACTCACCTGTCTTACAAGTGGGAGAGGGGACTCACCTGTCGGACGAGTGGGAGAGGGGACTCATCTGTCTGACAAGTGGGAGAGGGGACTCACCTGTCTGACGAGTGGGAGAGGGGACTCACCTGTCTGACGAGTGGGAGAGGAGACCCACCTGTCTGACGAGTGGGAGAGGGGACTCACCTGTCTGACGAGTGGGAGAGGGGACTCACCTGTCTGACAAGTGGGAGAGGGGACTCACCTGTCTGACAAGTGGGAGAGGGGACTCACCTGTCTGACAAGTGGGAGAGGGGACTCACCTGTCTGACGAGTGGGAGAGGGGACTCACCTGTCTGACGAGTGGGAGAGGGGACTCACCTGTCTGACGAGTGGGAGAGGGGACTCACCTGTCTGACGAGTGGGAGAGGGGACTCACCTGCCTGGAGTCCGTCTCTGATGATGGATCAATTTAACTCGTAGGTGAAGTTTAAAAGGTTAGTTCCTAGGGGACGGCTTTCAGTCCCCAACAGGGTGCCACTCCCCACAGGGTTCCACTCTTTCCACAGGGTGCCACTCCCCACAGGGTGCCACTCTCCCCACAGAATGCCACTCCCCACAGGGTGCCACTCCCCACAGGGTGCCACTCTCCACACAGAATGCCACTCCCCACAGGGTGCCACTCTCCCCACAGAATGCCACTCCCCACAGGGTGCCACTCCCCACAGGGTGCCACTCTCCCCACAGAATGCCACTCCCCACAGGGTGCCACTCCCCACAGGGTGCCACTCTCCCCACAATGCCACTCCCCACAGGGTGCCACTCCCCAAAGGGTGCTTTCCTGACTAAGAACCCAGCATCTTTTTTTGGCATAAATGGTAGGGATATTTTCCCTTTCCTCTAAATCTACTGACATTTACGCCCGATGACTCATGAAGAATTATGAACATAAATTATGGAATGTGGGAAAAACTTTTGAAAGAATTTTTACCTATAAAGTTATTATTATTTTTTTTTTTTTGCAAATGCAGTTGAATAAGCTGATAGAAAATTGACTAACACGTAGTCTTTAATTTTAGATTATTTTTTCAATTCCAGTTACAAAAAATAAAGAAATCGCTCTATAGAGAGTTAACTGTCAACTAGTGCGTAGAGTTGACTGTGTGAACTACGGGAGTGGCAGGTTGAGGAGGGTAGCAAGTTGATGATGACAGCGTCTGATAATGTTAGAAGGTTGATACACTAGCAACACTGACTAACAAGCAAACAAACCTGTTTAGAGTGTTTGTTGGGTGCTGAATCCGGACACAGCGGGTCAGTGGGATCCAAACACGGCTTCTCCTGGTAGGCTGTGGTGATGCCAGCCTGTGTGCCACAAACATTACTCACGTTAATACAACACTGATGTTTAACCTAGCCTAATCTAATCTAACCTGGCTTAACTTAATCTAACCTAACCTACGTAATCTAACGTTACCTAACGTTATCTAACCTTACCTAACCTAACCTAGGCAAATCGAAAGTAACTTAACTTAAGCTAACCAGACTTAGCTTGAACTAATCTAATTTAAACTAAACAAAAATAATCTAACGACACCTAAATTAAGCTAAAACTAATCTAACTTAAACTAACCTAACCTAGTTTAACATAA